AATTAGTCACTAGGATTGCATTTACATGAAAGCTGATCGCCTGCTGAAAAAAATGATACCAGGATTATGCTTGCAGCTGTAGGCATCATCCTGGTATAACCATTCAAAGTCCAGTGATGTACCAGTACGTAGCTGGTCCTTGTTGGGTATATATGCTATGTTCTATTTTTTTTTGTATGCAGCCTGTGGACTGAAAGAAAAAAATGTGTGGTATGCCCACCATTAAAATATACCGCCCTGCATTCACCCACTTCTAATGGTGGGCACACATTAGGTCACACTTTGCCACATGCGCCAGTTCCAAGATTGTACAAATGTCTAAATAGTGGCACGCTTGAATAAAAATTGTCCATGTATAAGTGGTACCCCATATGGAAAAAGGATGACACCAAGTTCCAAACTATCTTGCCACTACTCCCCTTGTAGTCTGGGCATTCGAGGGGCCCCACGTAATTATCTTTTCCCTCGTAAATCTGAAACTTATAAGTATAGCCTGTTGTCCTCTCACAGGTCTTCTACATCTTGACCCCATATCTGGCACGCTTGCTGGGGAGAAATTGTTTGAATGCAAGGCGGCCAGAAAAATTCATGAGGGACTCATCAACGCAGATTTTTTGCTGTATAGACATCTGCAAATTTTTGGTTAAGGTGATTTATGAGGGGCTGAATTTTGTGGAGCCGGTCAAATTCAGGGTCACCTCAAGGACAACAGTGTGTATGGTAGTTGAAATGCATAAAACACATTATACTCTCATATCTATGCCTGGCCATGGCAGGAGAGAACACGGGCATATGATGAATCAGGTCTGTGGACCAATACAACCGCAATTCATTTCTTTTAGTAATGCCCATGTTGAGGGTTAGGCCCAAAAAAATGTAAACTCAGAAACCGTAATGAGTTTCCATGTGACTGGTCTTGCAAGGTTTAAATTTGGGTTGGCGGCGATACATTGTTGTGCATATAAAATGCTTTGATCCACAATCAATGCATACAGATCTGTGCCGCCCTGTAGCAGTATTTCTGCTATAGGGCGGTCAGGAAGCGGTTACACAAGCGGTTTGTGTTACGGTGATATTTTAACTGACAATTGCGCGGTCATGCAACACTGCACCAAAATGAAATTTACAATCTTTTTTCCCCACAAATTGTGCTTTCTTTTGGTGGTATTTGATCGCCTGTGCGTTTTTTTATTTTTTGCAGTATAAAAAAAAAGCGACAATTTTGAAAAAAAAATCAATATTTTGGACTTTTTGCTATAAAACATGTCCAGTAACAAAATGTAAAAATCAAATTTCATCATAAATTTTGTCCAAAATGTATTCTGCTACATGTCTTTGCTAAAAATAAATCCCAATACGTGTAAATTAATTGGTTTACATGAAAGCTATAATGTTTACAAATGGCGGTATAGATACTGGATTTTTTTTTGTACACTAAAATAGTGGCGATCAGCGACTTATGGCGGCAATCAGCGACTTATAGCGGCGATCAGTGACTTATGGCAGGACTGCGGGACTGCGGCGGACATTCTGACACTGGGGGGAACTGACATCCCCAGTGACACCAATACAGTGATCAGTGCAAAAAAACCCACTGACACTGTACTAATGGCATTGGGGAGGAAGGGGCTAACTTCTGGAGACAATCAAAGGGTTAATTGTGTGAGGGGAGTGTTTTACTAGGGGGTGGGGGTGTGTACCTCTCTGTTACACACTGTTGCGGGAGGCTGTGTCCAGCGATCCCGGAGCAGCGTGCTGAAAGGTGACAGGGAGGAAAGCTCCACTGAAAACAATGCAGCCTTCCTCTCTGTCAGTGATTGCTGGCAATAGCCGGGCTCCGGCGGGTAATCACTGGCCGGGACCCAGTGATTGAGACCCACAGCCGCGATCAGTGCCGCGGGTAGGGTTAATACTGGTTCTCTGTACTCTTTTCTGAGGTCCAGAAAAGTATTGCTACAGGGCGGAATGGGTGCACAAAATCACGTATACGTATATACATGATTTTGCATTTCCGGGTAGGGGGCATGCGCGATGCGTGCGCGCACCCTACCTGTGCCACTATTCGCGGCCGCAGCTGTCAATCACCAGGTCCTTGCTGGTGATTATTCGCTGGCGGGGGGTGGAGAACTGTTTGTAAACAAAACAGTTCTCTCCCCTGTCAGCTCCTGCACACTGCTTTGCATGGCTTTGCATAGCACAGCCATACAAAGCATTGTACTTACAGTGAAGCACTAACACAGCACACTTAGTAAAAAGGCACACAGCACACGGTTAACCCTTTGATCGCCCCACATGTTAACCCCTTCCTGCCCAGTGCTATTAGAAGAGAGTCAGTGCTTTTTTTTAGCACTGATCACTGTATTGGTGTCACAGGGGATGCCAGTGACACCAAGTCAGTTCCACCCAGTGTCAGAATGCCCCCGCCGCAGTCCCACTATAAGTCGCTGATCGCCGCCATTACTAGTAAAAATAAAAACTAAAAGCAAAAATCCCAGTATATATACTGCCATTTGTAAATGCTATAACTTTCACGTAAACCAATTTACACATATTGGGCTTTTCTTCTGGAAAGGCATGTGGCAAAATACATTTTGGCCTAAATTTATGACAAAATTAGATTTTTTAGATTTTTTTACTGGACATGTTTAATAGCAAAAAGTCATAAATATTGTTTTTCTGAAAATTGTCACTTTTTTTTTATAGCGCAAAAAATAAAATACCCATAGGCGATCAAATACCACCAAAAGAAATCTCTATTAGTGGGAAAAAAAGGACGTACATGTAATTTTGGTGCAGCGTTGCATGACCGCACAATGGTGAATTAAAGTAACGCAGCACCAAAATGCAAAAAATGGCCTTGTCAGTAAAGGGGGGGGGGGAATCCTCAGGAGGGCAAGTGGTTAATAAGCAATTAACAAATCATAAACAACAACAAAAGAATTGACAAACGTTTATAAGAAACTTTGCATAAATCAATAGTAAAATCTGTGATGAGTGCACCATGATTATTCAGAAAATCCTTGTGTGTATAAAGCATACACACCACATGTCCTCCACCAGCCACATTTAGAGGTTTAACAGACAAGATGTCATTCCCATAAGAGAAGTCATACAGAGCTTTTTTTACAAATCAAATGTAAGTGCAGCGCTAAAGCATAAGTGACAAATGGCATCGTAAAGTGCAAATGTGAATAGAAGTTTTCATACAATATTCAAGTGAAATAAATCCAATAAAACATCTCAGATCGTATAAAATTATATGTGCACGAAACGCGTTGGGTGCAGCCTTACATGCTGATGTCACACCGCCGCGGCCGGAGCTCGGAGTGGTGGCCATCTTGGTATGCTTTTATGCATTTAACTCTTTGCTGTATCCAGGTGTATTACTTTTAAATATTTACAATAAATACTACACTATATTGCCATATCTTAAGCTCCTGTGGTGATATTCTCCCTCTAGGAGGATCCTTTGGTGGTTTTGCATAGCCCTGATGCTGGAGAAGTCCGGTCCCTATTTATGGCTTCCTGAGACCCCCCATAAGGATCAGCATTAATGCTATTATACAAGTAGAGTTCTGGTGAGTGCACATCCATATAAGGTGGTGGATTCCTATGTTGGATCATGAACACTCTTGAGCATCCCAGCTGGTATTGCTGCACCTTGTAGTTCCACAATCACTGGGCATTGCTGTGCCCTGTAGTGCCACGGACTGTATAATCACTATTATTGCTAAATAAGCACACATACAGTATATCACTTGGCACTTCTGTGACCTGTAGCGCCACGGACTATTTATGTCCACTATTTATGTTCAGAATTTTAGAGTTTTTTTTTTTTTTATGATTCTATGATTTTATATGATCTGAGACATTTTATTGGATTTATTTCACTTGAATGTTATATGAACACTTCTATTCACATAAGCACTTTATGATTGCATTTGTCACTTATGCTTTAGCGCTGCACTTACATTTGAATTGATTACTGTGGGTTTGTTACCTTGCTTTATGTGCTAGCAGCTACCATATTATCTGCGCTCGCCTTATATCTTGTGTTAGAGCTTTTTTACAACCACAGGCAGACCAGAGTCTCCATTGCCCATAGCCCAGCTTTCCTCTCCATCAATATCAGGTACATAAAAATATATAAAGAGCAAAGGATGCTCCCAATAGTGTAATACCAGATGCAACAAAAATGGTTAAATACACTTACATCGGCACTGTATACAGTGTTACATAAAAGAAGCTACAATTCCCGGTAATGTGCGGTAATATCAAAGCTTTTGGCTTCATCCAATGCATTTTGCCATACATTATATCATTTGTTTCTTTTATGTAACACTGTATACAGTGTCAATCTAAGTGTTTTTAGCCATTTTTAAATAAAGTTTGCATCTGGTGCATAGTGCATGAACATCAAAGACATTTCTTTCCAACAGTGACATTGAAACAGTTCACCAAAAAAATGTTTTGGACATTTGTGAGGTCATTCAGGGGTGGTCTGTAAACACATTTTATTTTTCAATATTTATCCAGTCTTTGCTTTCATCAGCCCTGTGTATTCCCTAAACAACTCCTCAAGTATTTTCAGCACACAAGATGCTGCAAACAGCAACAATATGCAAAGGGGGTTATTTACTAAAACTGGAGCACACAGGATCTGGTGCAGTTCTGCAGAGAAAGCAATCATCTTCTAGAATTTATTGTTAAAGCTTAACCACTTGCCTACTGGGCACTTTTTCCCCCTTCCTGCCCAGGCCAATTTTCTGCTTTTAGTGCTGTTGCACTTTGAATGACAATTGTGGGGTCATGCAACATTGTACCCATATGGAATGTTTAGCATTTGTTTCACACAAATAGAGCTCTCTTTTGGTGGTATTTAATCACCACCAGGGTTTTTATGTTTTTGCTCTGTAAATGAAAAAAGAGCAAAAAAAAAAAAGGTTTTTCTTTGTTTCTATTATACAATTTTGCAAACAATAATTTTTCTCCTTCACTGATGTGCATTGATGAGGCTGTACTGATGGGCACTGATAGGCAGCACTGATGGGCACTGATGAGGTGGCACTGATAGGTAGCACTGATGAGGCGGCGCTGATGAGGCTGCACTGGTGGACATTGATGAGGAGGCACTGATGATGCAGTGATATGCAGCAATGATGGGCACTGTTAGGTGGCACTGATGCGCACTGATAGGCAGTACAGATGGGCACTGATAGGAGGCACTGATGGGTGGCACTGACTGGCGGCATTGACTGAGGGCACTGTAAGACAGCACTGACGGGCGGCACTGTTGGGCACTGATGGGCGGCACTGTTGGGCACTGATGGGCGGCACTGTTGGGCAGCACTGATGGGTGACACTGATGGGCAGCACTGATGGGTGACACTGATGGGTGGCACTGATGGGTGACACTGCTGGGCGGCAATTGATAATCAGGGCATTGATAATCAGTGCCCTGATTATTAGTGCAGATCTCCCCAGTACTTTCCTCACGCTGTGACAGCCAATAACCGGCAACTATATTTACATTGTGAACTGCTGTGTCATTGGACACAGTTGATCATGTGGTAAAAGACCGCTGTGATTTGCCTTTTACCTTATCATGTGATCAGCTGTGTCTATAGGACACAGCAATCACCGACAGTGCCGGGTGCATGACGTTGGAGGCACGTTCTGGGGGAACATCCATGAACGCCCTCCCAGAACTGGATAACCACGCTGTACCCGTCTTTCGGCTATAGTATGATTGGGAAGCGGTTAATTTATTGAACTGAAGAAGCTATTTGGTTACGATGCACAGCTGCACCAGATTCTGTGTGCTCTTGTTTTAGTAAATAACCCTCAAAGTATAGTAGCACTAAGCAGCCAATCAGTATTCATAATTTGGTGGCCTGATTACAGCTAACAGAAATTTGATCAATTAAAGCAGAAGTAAACCCATCAATTTAACAATTTCCCAGAACAAATACTGTACATTCAAGGTATGACATGAGTGATAACTGCCATAGAGGCTTTTTGTTTTTAAATTGAACTGTCAAGCCATCAAATGGCTGGTGTAATAACTGATGACATGTTCAGAACCATGCCAACTGCAGAACAAATTAAAGTGGAATTCCTGCCTAACACTAACTATGATCAAAATTTCCCCCTCCTTTCTCTTGCTACCTATGTTGTCCATCTTGTTTAAAACATATGTGTATACTTACCTATGTTTACTTCGCTCTAGTCCAGTCGCATGATCCCCTGTGTCAGTGTGTTGTGTCTACAGGGGTTAGGAGGAGGCACTTGACAACAGCTGGGAATTCCGGGAACCATGATGCCACCCATGGGCTCCCTTATCCCAGCCATTGTTGGCACTCCATCCTTTCCTCTACAACTACTGCTGAATGACACTGGGGAGCCAAAGCTGCTGATCATGTGATTGGACCAGATAGGACAAAAAGTAGGTAAGTATATGTATCTTTTTTTTTACACAGGATAGGCATCAGAGGTATCAGGAGGGAAGAGGGAACATTTTAATAATTCATAGTGTGAAGAAGAAATTCTACTTTAAGGCTAAGATGGCAACTTCCTTGGCTGTAAAGGATAGGGGGGTTTAGTTTTGCTTTAAAAGACTACTTTTCAATCCACATAGAAAATGTCAGTACTTTCCACAAGTCCACTAAACAAACCTTGTTTATCCACTTGCTTAGGATAGCTTAGAGACCACTTTTATGTATTTTGGTCATACTTAGTCATTTTAGTCACTTCTGGTGTTAATCCTAACAATGATTAAGACCAAAACTGGACAAAATGCATAAGCATGTTTGCTGTTGTATCACATGCATGTAAACGAATAAGGCTTGTTCGGTGTACTTGTAAAGAAAGTAAATGTTTTCTGTGCTGATTTCTTTTCACAGTAGGACAAGTATAGCCATGAACCACCCTTTGCTAGTACTTATGTTATGTCAAAGACAGCAAGCTGATTTTTTTGTTTGCAATATGACCTTGCACACATTCATTGCACTTCCTTATATTATAATCTGCTTTGGTGTGTAATTTTTTTTATATGGTTTTTATATTGCTGTGCCTTGTCCCTGTACTATGAATGCAGGTATTTAGCTGTGGAAATGATGTTTTCTAGTGAGGCACGTTCTGATCTAGCATCCAGCCATCTACCGTGCCAACTGAGGTAATTATTCCCAGCTGACACTGGATGCATGCAACCTCATTTCACCTTCCTCTGTCTGTTTACTTGATGCTCAATAATAGTAGCATGGCTGCTGTGCATTTTCCCTCTCTCTTTTGGTGCAAGGTAGAATTTGTGCACTATGGTCCTTTGGTTCACAGGAGAACCGTCTGCAGTCAATCCAGACAACACAGCTTGCATTTATTCATTTTTTAAACAAAGGTGCTGGTAGTTGGTTACGGCACATGTGTTTATAAAAAAAAAATAACCATAAAAATAATAGATCATAAAAGTCACATTGTGACAGTGCATCTTGTATACATCTACCATTTTATGGAATCATTTGTTGTATCATCAATTTTTATTTGGCTTTACTGAAAATAGAACTTTTTACTAATTATGCAGTAAATTTTAACAAGACAGTAAAGAGCACATGAATGAGCGTACACTACAAAAGAATATAAATCAGATTGCAAAAGGAATACTTGAGGCTGAGCAGTTTAGTGTGAACTTCAGTTTTATTACAGGAGCTTTCATTCCCACAGTGAAAGCTGCTCTTGTGAAAACATTTAAGAGCACATGCCATTATAAGAACACATTACTTCTCCTTTTAAGCTAAGGACCGCGTGCCTTGTCTCTCACTACCTGTTTGATTTGGTTTATTCCTGTTTGCGGAGGTTCACACTGGCTATGGATTAGAGAATTTGTTAAATTAACACAATAAGAGGAAGAAAAGAGAATGCACCATGTGACCATCAATGTTGTGAGTGTTGATATCTATGCTGTCATGTGACCAAGCAACAAATAATGAACATGTTCGTGATGACAAAAAATGTGGAACAGGCAACATGTGACCGTGATATATGTGACCTTGAAATTTTATGTGTTTGACATAAATATTGGCCATATAAAAATATCCTGAAGCGGAAGAATGAAGCTGGGCAGGCAGATAGCAGAATATTGCATCTGATGTCAATATTTCATTATGCATGGTCACATCAACCCTAATAGTAGTTATAGCATAATCCCTTTTTATCTTCAAATCTCGTGCATTTCTATCAATTTACAATATCAATACTTTGCAGTTAACGTTACCCACCATCTTCTGAAGGAGAGCGAAAAGTGGATGGGCCAAGAGGGAAATGTATCATGTACTGATGGTACGACACATGCCTTGTGTGTTGTGTCATGATATAGATAAATCTATTTGGATTTTATTAAGTCTTAATAGGCTTTAGTGAAGTCCAAATAAGAGAGAATATGGATGCAGCACAACCATAAGATCACCTCATCATTAACATAAGATGCGCTTGAATGTTGACATTTTCAGCTCCTAAAATGCTGCGGTAAGGGGATTCCTATATTTATGATATTCTGTGCTTAATGATGTGTTAATAAAGTATTGTAGATTAAAATATGTGATAAGAGCCTGGGGTTAGCCTCAATCCTTCTTGTTGCTTGCTGAAATGCATGCTATTCAGCCTTTAAAGAGGATCTTTGCCCTGTTTGAAAAAAAAAAAAAACAAATACTGTAGCTGCTGACTTTTAATAAAAGGACACTCACCTGTCCAGTGGTCCAGCTCTGTCCTCATCCGAACCAATTTTTCACCGGTCTTCGGGTCTCTGGCACTGGCATGCTTACCCATTTGAGCTCCAGTGACCTACCTGTACGTTGCTGGGGTTTGCATAGGTATACTGGGAAATGATTCATCTGAGAGAGTGTTATACTTGTCAAGCCATGCTTGCTTTGCACCCTCTTTAAAGACTGTCATTGCCTCTTTCTCTGAAAATACTCTCTCATCTCCATTTTTCCAGTGGCTACACCATCATGCAGGGTGTCATGGAGCCCTACTGTAGCCACCCTTTCATAGCACATTCTTGCCTGCGACTGTAACCCACAGACTATGCAGGATGTTATGTGACTATTATGCATACAATGTGTGCTTCCTGACCGAATATTCAGGGAAATGGCCCTGGGAAACACAGAACAAGTGACTTTAATTACTACTAATTGTAATTGATTGTGAAGATAATGTGCAAAAGAACTTTATAGCATATGTTTCCTTAGTTCACCAGAATAAATTATTATAAAAAAAGATGAGTTTTATACCACTTTGCTGTTAAAAAGGTGAATTAGGTTCTCATTTGCTAAGCCTATTAATACAGTTACCAAAGTCATGGCTTTAGTCCACAGTTGGGAACTGTCAGGCTTAATTCCCTAGAGCAGGGTTAGTGCCAATGAAGAATGCACTTCTGCAGCATCACATTCTGTGATATATCTGTGATTTACTGTATCTACCCTGCTACTAGCACTGCCTGCACAAGTCTGGCATTGGAATGGAGCCTTAGCTATTGTGCAATAGGCAACAGCCATACTGAAATACTTTTCTTAATTTAAAATAAAAAGACTATTGTCAAAAATAATAAATCTGTAAAAGGCTAAAGGAAAGCTGTCACATTTAAAACATGATATCATCCATTTTGAAGGTGCAGTATTTAGGGCTGTGGTCCTAGTGCTGTTGTAGTATAATAATATTTAGTAACTGTAGTCCTTTAAGATGGTATTCTGTCTTGAAGATAGGGAATTATGTCCCCGTGCAATTATTTTTGTCAGTAATGTACTTACAATTGAATGGATTTAGCATCTCTTGTCTTGCCAGGGAGAAGTAGAGAGGAGACCCTGATTGACTGGCAATTCAGCCCCAGCTGACAGCTGAGCAGTTTCTGAACCTTAATATTTAGTGTCACAATGTATGAAGTCCTGTTTATCTATTTTTTAATCTATCAGTCTATCTTGCTATCTATCTACCTATCTGCAAGCAGGGCCGTCCTAATAGAATCATGGGCTCGTAGGATTAAAGTAGAAATAGTCGATAGAATTAAACATATATTTATTAGTACTTCCAAGC